TAAGTAGAAAATTAAGGTTTCTGCTGTATTTCACCGGGTAGTGATGGGGTTTTCCCCCAGGGATATTTCGAGTGAAAGGGGAGAAGTCCAGTAATAATATTTTACACAGTAAGAGCATCTTTTGACAGCACAAAAGTTTTACTATTCTTTACCCCTCACGATATTTCTTTATATATATAATATTTATATCTGTTATAATACATTTATTATTATTTATATTTTTTCTTGTTCGTTATTATTATAACATTTTGCCTACAGCCAGGGAGGCTTTATGGAAATGCACGTGCCTGAAGACATGTGGGATCTGGTTGCCTAATTGCTATTTATTTCTTCTTTTATTGATGCAAAAGGACATTTTGGTTAAGAGACTGGGGATTAGTTTGGGGTTTACAGTGATTAAACAGGGCTTTTCATATCTGATTTTTCCTTAGTTGCCCAGAGACTGACAGAAAAGGGGAAGCACACTGTGGACCTGGACAACAACGTAGTAGATGTGAGAGCGGTGCCTGTTCCACTTGAAATGGGATTCAAATTTAGGGTAAACAAGTGAAATATGAACCTACAAAAATAGGAGTTCTTAAAAACCTTTAGGTTTGCTTCCCCCCCCCCCCCCGCCCAGTGTTTTCAGTCACAAAGTTCACCACAAATTTTGTTATTTTTAGCTCCATGTCATTATTTCTGGAAGGAAGATCAACGTTTCAGACATACCTGAGCTGCCCATTCCTGATGATTGGATGAGAGACAAATTGGAGCTGAATTTCTACAAAACTCAGCAGGGAGGAGGGGGAGAAATAGAAGATGTGAGCTATGACAGTGGGTCTAGAACAGCTGTGATTACATTCCTCAGACCTGGAGGTAGAGTATGGAATATTTTGTTACCCCTATTTAGGCCAAATTGTCCACTCTGGGTTACTTTCTATGTAAAGCTGTGGCTTCACCCACACATCTGGAAATAAAGCAGCATTTCACCCCAGCCCTTTCTTGATCAAACATGACCTGGTCACGCTTTATGAGCTTTATTTCTTTCATAACTTTGCCAAACCCCTTGGTTTTTATGTTGCATTGCCAGACACTCAGATTGCAAAAAGAAAACGAGGAGAATGTGTTCGGTTTTGGCTCTCGTTTCACACCAGTGAAGTGGCTCAGGCATTCCCATTGCCCAATGCTGTGAAGATCAGTGGAGCCACATCCACACAGAGCAGCTGCTTTAGATTTATTTCAGCAGCTTTCGTGGGTATTTCATGATTTTGCTTTTTTTTTTCTTTTTTCAAGTAAACTTTTTGCACAGTGCACATGAAGAACCTACAAGTGTGAGCTGGACTTGATGACCCTGCTGGGTCCCTCCCAACTCAGCATATTCCATGATTTTTATGATATATTAGTTTCTACATCCGTATAATACAAAGATGAGTCTGTGCTTTGAGATGCTTATAAAACAAGTTTAAATTGCATGACTCTTACCCTTCTTTTTCTCCTTCTCCATTTCAGCCAGCAACATCTTTGGGGGATCTGCTCAATACCCTTTCTTTGTAGGTGGAAGGTGCTACAAACTTTCTGTTTCCTCACATGCCTACCTAGAGCTGGAAAAGTTTCAGGTAAAATAACCTAGCCCAGGCAAACAGAACAGGTAGGTGGGAAACAGGAGCTGTGGGCAGGATCTCCAGTCCTGAGCCCTGCAGGAGCTTTTGTGTCGTGGACTTTGTGCAATTTAACAGCAAGTGTGAGTCTGCAGCAGGCTGATAATCTCGTGTTTTTGCAGTGGGAAAGCTGCAATTTATTTGTAAAGGGGTGTGCGTGTCTTGCCTTGATTAAATTGTGTCAGAACTCACCAGAATGCCTGTGCTGGATGGCAGGCAGGTGTTTGGGAAGGAGGTTAATCCTGGACACGGCGTTTTCCAAGCCTCAAAGCCCTGTCCCACTGCTCCCTGGTGAGAGTGCCAGCAGAGAAACATTTGCTCCTTCATTCCTCGCATTCATTCTTACAGCCCAAACACCGACTCCTCTCCCTGTAACACAGAGCTTATCATCCTGTTCCCATGGAATGCTCATCCCTTTCTCACTGGAATTGCCTCTTGCTTTGTGAACAGATGGTAATCGAGTCAGCATTGTGGATATAATTGTGGGTATAACCAGCCCTTTGTAATTAAAGCACAGGCTGGAGTGTGTGAGCAGGAGACACAGCAGCTTTGCAGGTGTGGAGCATGTCCTGGCAGGGGTTTTTATGGAGTGGTGCTCTGGAGTCATCAGAGATCCCCAAATCCTGAGTGGGGGTGTGTTAGGGAGTGTGGGACACACCGGTTAAGGAGTCTGCATTCACTGAACTCAGCAGGAATATCCTGAGTGGGGAAACACCCACAAGGCTCACCAGTCCCACTCCTGGCCCTGCACAGACACCCCAGCAATCCCACCCTGTCCCTGAGAGCTCCAAACAGGGAAAACTCTCCCCTCAGTCTCCTCCAGGATGAACAAAGCAGTGCCAGGAATATACCCCACGATCCCAAATCTTTTCCTAACGAAAGATCCCAGCCACACCTGCTCAGGGAACTGAATCCCCAGATCTGCCAGTCCCTGACGTGTCATCCCAGCGTGTCTTCCTTTCCTCCACAGCCATACTGGGGGGTTTCCAAGAAGACCATCCTGCTGAAAGGAATCCAAGAGGTGGAAGAGGATGAGGAAAGTATCCAGGACATGATTGAAATCCACTTCCAAAAGCCAAGTAACGGCGGTGGGGAAATCGAGAAAATCAAATATGTCTCAAAAGAAGCAGCATATGTTTGCTTTGAGGAGGATACTAAGAATGCCAGCTAGGAATTCAGAGTGAACTCCTCACGTTCCCAGTTTTTGCTCCATCAGAGGCATAGGAGCTGTGCTTTTATGTTTGAAATTTGTCCTGGTAAAAGAGGAATTACTGCCTTTCTGATTTGTGCAAGGGCACAGGCTCTGCATGGAAATGCAGCAAAACTCACTGCTTGGGCTTCCAGACGAAAGACAGAGAAAGAGCCTCCATCAGCACTTGAAACATCAGCTGAGATTTTATGCATATTGGCAAATTTTGTATCTTGTAAATGTTAATATAGTTCAAGTACTCCAAAGTGGGATAAATATATGATTTCTTACATTTTGGATATAAACCCCCTCTGTAATCCCAATCCAAAGCCTGGAGCAGACCTGCTCTGTTGGGAGTGCCAGATCTTCCCAAGGTGGCTCTGACACAACTGCAGTCCTGCTGAGGCTGCTGAGTGCCATCAGATCTCAAATCCCTGAAAGAAGCCCTGTAATTTCATAAAATCCAATGTATCCAATTAGTAATGGAATTAAAACAGAAAAGGGGAAAGGGGCAGTGCAGAAACATCAGTTTTACTCAAGGAATTGCAAATAATTAAATGCCCTGGCAGGAATGCTGCCTTGAGCTGCTGAGCTTCTACTAATTCACTTATTTTAATAAATGCTTCTACAATTAAATTTTTCCTCATTTTTGTCCATGTTTTTTTCTTACTTCAAACTATTTACAGGCCAGGATGGTGCTTTACCTAACCCAGACTGGTTTTGTAACAACACTGGGGAAACAGCCTGAGGGATCTGGTGACTCCCAGGCTCTGGGAGGGTGTGCAAGGAGGGAACAGGGAAATGCAGAGTCAGGGAAAGCTTTGTTTTCCAAGGAAAAAATGCTTTTCCTTTTCTGCTGTCATCCTTAGAAGATAAATCCTCCTCTCACTTTGCATTTCCATACCTTTTGCTGAAGTGCTTTGGCCACAACAACATTAATTTCAAAGTAACTTGAGTCTGACGTTGAAAATCACTTATTTTCGGGGTATTTGACGTGTTGGTGCAGGAAATGGACAATGCACCGAGCTCCCAAAAAATATCTCAGGGATTATTATTCCAGAGGAATTGAGCTGGCAAGAGACTGAGATGAGTAAGGGAAGCTAAAAGGCTGCAAGCAGCAGTTTGTTTTGAATTTACTGTTGAGTGAGATACATGTGACTGTAGCACCTCTTGCTGTTTAGTGCATGCAAAGGCATGGATTGATTACCTGACCACTGTGAAGTAATAATAATAATAATAATAATAATTTAAAAAGGGAATAGCACTGAAGTGTTTATGGAGATCATGTATTTCTGCTCACTTAAAAACTCGGTAAAATCAGACACCTTGAAAAGAAAGGGGGAACCCCTGAATTTTAACCGTGCCACATTGTTAAATACTGAGGACTAAATCCTTAAAAAAGGAAGAAAGTGTAAAATTCTCATAAGGTGCCCGTGTGGGCTTGGCATGTGCCTCACCACGTGTGTGTGCCGTGCCACGTGTGTGCCTCGAAACACGCCTGCTTTGACATACGTCTGGCTGTGCCACGCGTGTGCCTTGCCGTGCGCGTCCCTGCCCGTGTCCGTGTCCCCCTGCACGCGTGTCCGTGCCCGTGCGATGCCATCCCGGCTTCTCTCGCTGCTGGCGGGGATTCCCTCCGGGAGAGCGGCGGAACTCGCGGGTTGTTTCTCCGGCAGGGCGGGCGGTGGAGCCCCCCCCGCTCCTCCTCCTCCTCCTCCTCTTCCCTCCCTGCCGCTTTCGCTTTCGTTTCCCCGCCGGGCCGGGGAGGTCGAGCCGAGCTCCCCGAGCTCCTGGGCCCTATCCCGGCGGGCCCCCATCCCGGCAGGACCCCCATCCCGGCAGGAGCCCCATCCCGACAGGAGCCCCATCCCGGCAGGACCCCATCCCGGCGGGACCCCCATCCCGGCGGAGCAGCGGTCATGGCAAGTGCCGAAGGACGGGAGGGGAGAGCGAGGGCGGCGAACCCTGAGTGGAGAGCGGCCTTCTCCCAGCTCCGGGGGGAACAGGGAAGGAGAAGGGTGGGAAGGAATCCAGAGGGAGCGGAGCGCGGGGCTCGTGGCCGTGGGTGCCGCGCTGAGCATCGCACAGGGCCGGGCTGTGCGGGGCCCCTGCGTGTCCGGGGGTGCCGCTTGGAATCGCTTCCAGAGGGCAGGGATGGATGGGATACTGGGAAGGAATTGCTGGCTGGGAGGGTGGGCAGGCCCTGGCACAGGTTGGGCAGAGAAGCTGTGGCTGCCCCTGGATCCCTGGAAGTGTCCAAGGCCAGGGTGGACGGGGCTTGGAGCAACCTGTGCTGGTGGAAGGTGCCCCTGCCCATGGCAGGGGAGTGGGACTGGTTGGTCTTTAAGGATCCGACGCAAACCAGTCTGTGATTCCACGATCCGGGGAGCAGCTTTGCCAAGGAGCCGCACGCAGGAGCCCGTTGTCAGTGGTTACCGGCACAACAGAGCTCCTGCCCCTCTCCCTCCTGCCCATCCCTGCGGCCCCTCCCGGTGTTGCTGCCCAGGACCAGCTGCTCCACACGGGCTGCTCTCGGGAGCCATTCAGCACTAAACGCACGTTCGTGGTGGGTTTTTTTTTTTTCCCCTAACCCCAATAGCAGGCACGAGTGTTGCTCCCAAACACCAGCTGGCAAGGTGTGAGATGCTGTCTGGCAGCTGAGAGCTCGGGAAGCGTGAGAAAAATCCCGCATGGATCTCGGGAGCACCGCGTTTATATTCCCCTCGTGTTGTCTCATTAGCGCAGGGACTTGCTTTCACACGAACATTACCAGCAAAAATAATTGCCTAATGTAATTAAAGCTCCTGGCTCTTTAAGTTTGATGGGTGATAAAGGAGGGCCTGGTGTCTCTGTGAATTAAAAGCTTGCATGGTTGCACAGGCTCACTGGATCTGTCTCCTCGTGGTGGCCCCCGGGGATTTGGACACACATCCTCCTTTGTGGCCCTCATGTTTTATGCAGCCCAGGCCCAGAAAAAAACTGAGAGAAGTGTAAAGAATTTACACGCAGTGACTGACCTCGAGCCCAGTCTCTCTGACGTTACTGGCAGCTCAGACACACTAAATTTATTTCCTTTCTTCCAGAAAGTCAGTGAACTGCTACTAAATTTAGTCAGCGTTCCAGTATTTACAGAGATTTTGCCGTGATATTCCCAGTGAAATGCTGCTGTTTGTGTCCATGGAGCAGGAATGGAAAGCAAATGTGCTTCTCTTAGCAAGACACGGATGCAGAGCCTGTTTGGGATGGGTTTCATGTTTGCTGTGCTGGGGGTTTGCTCTGATGAGAATCATGTGTGCAGCGAGTTGTTTCATGCACTGCGGAGTCTCGGATGACTGGGATTATGTTCTCCCAATTTAACAAGGTTATCCATTTAATAAATGGAGAGAGATGAGTCAGAGCACAACCCCAGATCCGTGTCTGGTGAATTTAACAAGTAAGGACAGTCGGAATCTGACCCTTCCACTCTGGAAGGAATCCTTACTGAGCAGCCCATGCAATTACAGTTTTCATTCCCTTCACGTTTAGAGTGTTAGAATCGGAGGAAACAACATTATCAGCGTGACACTGGACCTTCCACTTGAGAAACTGGAATTCAGTGCTAATTTTTCCTGCTTTAAGAAGGTCCTGAGAGGGTGTAAATTACATTTAAGGCCGTTTTTTAGTGCACAGCGATGTGGGTGCCTGAGGGAGCCTGGCATGCACTGAGATCTGATTCAGCAGCTTTAATTCACTGCTAAATGCAAAGGGAAGGGGAGTCACTCCAGGGATTGGGGTGAGTGTGGGTGATCCCTATGGCAGGTCACAGGTATTCCCTGCATTTACCACGTGCCATCTCTGCACAGGCAGCGGGAAGAGCCGCCAAATCCACCAGGACGGTTGTCATTGCTGGTGTCCCAGATGGCCTTCTGCAGGATGATGTCATGGCTGACATCCTCACCATCCACTTCCAAAAGTCGGGGAATAACGGTGGAGACGTGGAAGAAGTGACTTACCCAACAGGGAACAAAGGAGTCGCATACGTAACCTTTGAAGATCAGGAAGGTATTTACATTAATGTCCTAATAAAGCACAGCCAGCCCCTGGAGAATTAGCCCCAAGCCAAAGGATCTTAAACCGTGTATTAGTGCTAGAGTTTTGTAGGCTGGAAGATTAAAACCTCCCTTTGAGCCAGTGGAAGTTTTGGGATTTCATTTCTGCTCAGCCGTCACGCAAAGCGTTCCGCTTGGGTTTTGGGGAGTAAATTTGTGCCATGCCCAGCATTTCATTCTTGCAGCCAGGCTTTTGAGAGTCACTCTCTGCCAGTTGATGTTCTGGGCAGACGGGCTTCTGTCTCTCCGAGCAGTTTGGACTCCCACATAAAATGTTAGGCCAGAGGATGGAGTTGCCCACGTGTGTGTTTGGGGAATGGTTGGGAAACACCTTGGGAGTTCCCTCAGGCTAGAGGTGACACGTTATTTTACTGCTCAACAAGCGATTTGGGCTTTCCTTTTAGTTGTGGGGAGTGTCCTGAGGAAGGATGACCATCGCCTGGAAGACAAGAGGCTGTCCCAGTCCTATCCCCTGCGAGTGACCCCGTACTGTGAGAAGGTGAGCTCCTGCCTGAGTCACCCGCTTTGCTCCCATGCTGTGTTAACCAGTCCTTAACTCCTCCAACTCCAAATTCCAGGTCTTCAGCTCTGTCACATCTGTCCTCAGCATGGGTGTTTTCAAAGGCCAGTTTGTTTTGGAGGATCTGGTGGCAGAAATGAAGAAGCAGAGCAGGGATTTGAGCTTCGGGCCGTTGCACTCCGACGGCTGGATCGCTGTCCAGGGCTCCTTTCCGGCAATCAAAGCACTCAGAGACTTCCTCTTGCTAAAAGCCAAATCCCTCTCAGAGAAGGACAAGAGAGGGGAAAGTAAATCCCATCAGAGACCGAGGAGGAGGCTACAGGAACACAGAAGCACCACGGAGATGAGGAATTCCGTTCCTGATGGAGATGGGGGGAAAGAAGTGGTTGTTCTTGACACGGATATTTATCACTACATGAAGCACTTCTTTCCCTGGATATTCCAAGAAGATGGTGTTGTAGTCTCTGCTGTCACTGATGGTGATATAACTACAGTGTGTGTTGAGAACGCTGGAAGGGCTGATGCTGGACAGGTATCGAGTGTCAAGAAGAAAATTGAAGATCAGTCCATAAAACTCCACAGCACTTTACGGAAAATAAGGATCCCCTTAAAGGAACGCACCAGAGACGAAAAGCAGAGGCACAAAGGGGTGTGTGAAAGGCTAAAATCCTGTTACCCTCAGGTTCTGGTCGTTCCTTACGATGCTCACATCGAGGTGATAGGGTTTTCTTCAGACATTTTTAAGGTCACCGAGGAAATGAGCACCGGGTAGAAAGGGAACGCTCACATCTCTGCTCTCCCTGCTTCTCACACGGACTGTGGCACTGCAGATCTCCCACTGTGGCACTGCAGATCTCCCACCCTGCGGGCTGAGAGGGGGGAACTCTGCACATGAGGGTGAGCAGGCCCTCCGTGGCACTGGGAGGTCTTCACAGTAGAAAATAGGCATTTTGTTTCCATAGGAGCAGGAACGTTTCTCTTCCAGCTGTAATGGCTTCTGCAGCATCTCTTGACAACACTTTATTCAGACATGAATGTCCAAAGGTTTGATGTGAAAGTCTGGAGGCATTTGGGCTTTTGAATCAGGTTCTGTTTAGGCAAATCTGTTTCTATATCCATTGCAAGGGTTCAAAGACTTTTTTTTTTTAAAACCAGTTTAGAAAATAGCTCTTATTTTGTGGTATCAGTGTGCCCAGAATCTTTAGTCAAATCATCCAGAGCACTCATGTATGATGAGCAGAAAAGTTTTAGGTTTTTAATGCCATTAAAGAAGTGACTTGTACAAAACACCGTGTCCGTGTTCTTTTAACCAAATCCCAGATTTTTGGTTGGAAGCCCAAACCTGAAGCCCCAGAATTGCTTTGGGCATTTTCTTGTCATGACTGATTATCCGTTGCAATTATGCCAATGGAAGATAAAGTTGTTAAACCAGCGTATTAAAAATTATGTCAAAGCAGGAAGAGGATGAGCTTAAGTGCTTTGCTGAATGGGAAGGGGGGGGAGAAGCATTTAAGGATTTAATCCCTTCCAAGTTCCCCTGTGGACTGTGTGGGTTCTCCAGGGGGGTTGGAGCTGGGGTGGAAGGTGGATGCTTAGTCAGGCCCTGGAAGATACATGGGGGTTGTTTTGGGGTCCTCCCCACAAGAGCTCAAGCAGAGATGGGACGCTTTTCAACCTTGTCAAAGAAAAAATCCTCAGTGGAGGATAATCCTTTAATGAAATTAGTGCTCTTTCCAGTATCCAGATTGTCTCTTTTCCAAAGAGCCCCTTTTTGTCTGATTCAGAGCATTGGTATTTCCTATTTGCCTCAGTAAACGCTCAGGGCTCCACTGCTAAACCAGTGGCACTGGTGTTGGGTTGAATCCCGCTTGGTTGCTGCTGGCTGAGAGTGGTTTTTGGAGCCAGGTCTGACTTCAGAACAGTTTGCAGGAGCATTATGAGCGTCCTTGAGGTCTCACTGCCTGGCAAGTCATCCTAACCCGACGATTTTCAGTCAAAAACCTTGAAAACATCGCGGCTGAATAAAATCAAATGTTCTGGTTGGCTCGTGGTGCGGCTGGAACAGCTCCTCCTCTGCCCCCACGTCCTTGGCCGGGAGTGCCAAGCGTTGTCCCATTGTTCCCAGCGCTCTCCCATCTGCTCCCGGTCAGTTCTTGGGACAAAAGGGTTGTTTTGTTTGTGGAGCGCTGAGTAAACAGGAATCTCGGGGGCGGGGGATCGGTAAAGAGGAGCTATTGTGGTGCTCCAGGGGCTGCTTTTCCAGTGGGATTGGCCTTGGGAACGCCCCACCTTTGGCTCCTGGGCCGTGTCCTGGGAGCGGTGCCGGGCAGGGAAGGACAGGGCATTCCTGGGGGTGCTAAAGGGGTCGTGGCACCCACGGCCCGCGCCCGGCTGAGCTGCCCCGAGCTCCCACCCCGCACAGGAACGGCATTTCATCAGCAGGAACACAAAGCTGCGACCCATCAGCACAGCCCGGGAAATGCTGGGGAAACACGTAACCAACACCTCGGCAGAGCAACATCCCGAGGGAAGCGTCTGCTCCGTCCTTCGCGATGCAGAGAACGAGGGATGCTTAGCAAAGAAAAGCAGCCCCCTTCGGTCATCGCCGTGAGTGCTTCGGCAAATACAGCACAGCAGATCAGTGCTGGGGCTGGGCAGGCACTTGCCAGCTCTCAGTTCTATTAAACTCCACTTGACAAAGCCATCGAGTGTTTGTGTGTGTGTTGGAGAACGGATCAGATGTTGTTCCTGGAGCTGCTGCCTGGGGCTCAGCGTTCTCAGGTTTTGCACTTCCATTTGAATAAAGGGTTTGTTTGTGGCTCCTCCACAAAATATTTGTCCTTAGTGCTGTGCCCTTTGCCGAGAGGACATTGTATATATTATTATATAGAATTCACGTTGTAAAAATACAAAGCTTAATTTTCATTTAAGGCACTGAAAAAGCCTAAAAAAAAATTAATTAAAGGGCCACGAAGGGCGGCAGAATGTGAGCCCAGTTCCCTGTCACTGGGGTAAACACCTTGGAAGGATTTGAGAGACAACCCTTAGCAGGAAAATATCAGACAATTTAGACAATATTAGACACTCTGGAGGCAAAAGCAATGTCCGTGTTTGGCAGAGGGGATGGGGGAGGTGGATTCCATTCCTGCCAGAAGAGGTTTTCCCATCAGGAAAACAAAGCCCTTCCTGCAGGTCCATCCTCACCAAACCTGCCCCTGCCACCCTTGGGCTGCCTCTGTTCCAGGAGCACAAACTACAGAAGATCTGTCACATCTCCTGGAAGATTCCAATCCCAGAGGGACATTTTCTGGAGGAAAGAAACACTTGTTGCCTTATTTTAACCCCCTTTCCCCCAACAGTGCGTAAGAAAAATAAATGGGATTAGTAATAAATAACTTATTTTTTAAGACAACTGCCACACATCTTCATCCAGCCACACTGGAGACTCAGAAGCATCAAAGCCGTTGGAAAATGGACAATAACTCTCAGCTGAGGGTGAGCTCAGGGTGGTGGGTGAGTCAGGACCTGCAGCCCCCAGGGGTCGGATGGGGACAGGATCCCCCCAGGAGAGGAGATGGATTTAGCAGGCTCTCTCTTGGCTCCAGTTTGGCTCTCAGGAGGCTCCACAAACACACACACACGTTCCTGTGTCGCTGCACATCTTGTGCAAGGGACAAGCAGCTGTAGAGCAGGGCCAGGGAAGGCTGGGAAATGCCTTCTCCATTGCACAACCTTCGGGGTGGCTCCTTCCCTCCCGTGGAGCGTGGCTGGTGTTCACAGGACACGTGGATTCCATCCCATTTCATTCCAAAGAACTCTGCCCTTGGCCTTGGGGCTTCTGCCCTTCAAGCTGCTGCAGTTATGGATGGAAGGACCTTTTCCATCCCTCTTTTTTAAACTAAGAGGAATCACATGTAGATACTTTGCCGTGTTCACCTGCAATTAGAGGAGTCTTCCCTGATTTCTGCAGCAGCTGCCTGAAGATAACCAGACAACTCAGCTGAGAGAATAAAAAATAATTCACCATTAATTTTAGTTATGCTTTAAAACCAGACCAGAAAACTCGAGTAAAACTGCACGGCTCAGAACTGATAGTGCCTGGTCTGGTTGTATTTACTTTTTCCTTGGAGTTGTAGAACATCTGCTGGAAAACAAGTCCCTTTTTCTGCTTTGCCTAACACGGCTTTCCTTTGTCTCCTTTAAAGAAATCTCCTCAAAGTAATTCTTTTAAGGAGAAACACCACCTCTAATGGCAGCAGCTGCTGGTGCTGGGGTGTTGCACTAAAACCAGTTTTAGGGTGGATTTTCCCCGTCCTTACCGCTCCCACCTTTGTCAGAGGAGCAGTGTGGATCAGCACCTGCTACACAGAGCACCAAAGTTAAAATAATAATAATAAAAAAAGAAACCAGGATAAAATACTGGAGAAACAAAAGTTCTGCTGTATTTGTCAAGGTGAACAGTTTGATATCCCTAAAATTCCTGCCCCGGTGGAGAAAGGACACCAGGCCGAGGGTGTTCCAGATGGCAGTGCTGTTGTTTGGATTGGATCACGCAGAAAAAGGTGGATTTTCTGCCGAGCAGAAGCTCTGGCTGGCAGTCACGACTCTGCACACGGAGCCGCACATCCCATTCCCCACCCGTGCCCCGGGAATGTTTCCCGGCAAGCCCAAGGGGGCAGCAGATTATGGAGCTGGTCCAGATCGGGTCAGGTCCTGACCAACAGCTGACCTGAAGGATCCGATTCCCGGGCTGGACACGAGCAGATGGATTTGTCCCGTCAGACTTTCCCTGCCGTAAGCAGCGGGAGCACAAGGGGGAGCCAGATGCTTTGGAGCCGAAATCCCAAGTTTTCCTGCCCAGCTGAGCCCTGCCGAAGGAGGAGATGCCAGGAGCGCGTCCTGCTCTGTCCCTTTGCTGGTGGAAGCGGAGCTCAGGTCGCGTTTTCCCGGAGGAGATGTCGGGAGCGGGTCCTTCCCGTCTTTCCTCGCTCGCGATGCTCTCCCATCACCTTCTTTCGAGGCTGCCTGAAAACGGGAGGGGAAATCGAGCTCCTACTGGTTTTGAAAGACAGACCCCACCAGCTCCCAGCCACCACTCCACTGAGGAATTTAACCCTTCCTGCACATCAGGATAACCCAGCCCATCTCCCCTTGCTGTGGCTGGGACTGGAGTCGGTGGGCACTGCTGGTGCCATGGAACCACAGGTTTGATTTCCACTTAACACACCCTGAATGAAACAAAACTCCCAAATTTAAATCTTCACTTCCATTCTCCATGGGTTCTGACAATTTTTCCCAGTACTCTAATAAAAGCAACTTCTCTCCTTGTCGCAAATTGACATTTTCTGCCTGCAAACAGAGACTTATTTTGCGTAAACCCGTCATTTTCACCGTCATCTGGGTGCTTCCATTTATTAACGAATACCTCTTGTGCAGACAGAGCCCTCAACAACTGGGAAGTTTTAATGCACACAGTAAAAACACCACCGCGAGCTCTTTACCCCCCTCCGTGTTCTGCGAGCGTCTGACTTAAGGGGCTTGGCGTTTCTCTCAGGCATACTTTACATTTTCCAAACTTTCCCAATAACGCGCCGAGAGACTCGAGCATCTGCACTGCCAAAGCAAATGAGGGAAGGAACCGTTTTGCCGGCTCATTAACGCCTGGCACTGACAGGCCTGGAGGGGCTGCGGTTGCATTTCCATAGGGCACAGACAGCCCTCGAGGGGAGAGCGTTTGATTTACGCAGAGAGAAAGTTCCTTCAGGGCTGGGGGGATGCAAAAAGGGGCAGGAACCGGGAGCACAGCCTTACGATAGATACGGCTCAACCTGGGCTTCCAAAAACACGCTTAAAAACACGGCCACGAGTGCTGGTTTTGGCAGCAGCTGGAATGTTTTCCCCACACGTGGAGCTGTCGGAGCTCGGCTCCATCAGCGCCCTGAGAGCAACCGGCGCTGAATCAGCTGCGAGGGAAAGAAACAGAGAACGCAGAGATGGAAAGATTAAGAAAACCCGCAAAATCCCAGCGTTTGAGCGCTTCTGAAACCAAATCGAGTAACTGCGTTTATCTGGCTGTTGGCTCGATGCTGTTTGAGGAGCTGCTCCCCGACCCACCCACCTCCATCCTCAGCACCCCGATCATCCTCGCAGCCTCCCCCGGAGCTGCTGCTGAATTGGATCCAGCTGCTTGGCTCTCTTCCCACCCCGCTCTGCATTCCTATGAAACGCACGCACCGGCTCTCCCGGGTGGGGATGCTGCGGGAACGGTTCCAGCTTTCATACCCCCTCCCCTTCCTGGGCTGGAGCTGGTCGGGCACCAGACGTTCACAGTGGTGAACTCGGTGTGCGATGTCATCGGCCTCAGAAGGTATTTAAAGTCTCGCTGATTTGGGGCTTGTTAA